GTTCCAGAACTCACCACTCACAAGCTGGATTCCTGGGCAAGCCACATAACAGCTTGATTGAAGCTTTATAAAAAAATAAAAGCATCAATTCCTACCTGTGGAATTACTCCTTCACATTATGCAGAGATTATTTATAAACTCTAGATGTAATATGAAGCTGTTCAACTCCAGGACTGCAAAACCCCAGCATATGGTTTCCCAAAGAAAGAACTTGGAAGACTCAAAGGAGGAGGTTTGGACATTTTATTACTCGCATGTTCCTTGGCAGTGGCTGGCCAGTATAACAGGGAGGGCTGCCCCTCATCTATAAGCAGGGGAGTATATACAGGGTGGATTGTGTGCCAGGTCATTCTGTTATGATCCCTACCTAATGACTGGAAATAAAGGAAGTGGGCAGTTTCCTCTTCCTTACCTACCATATAGCACATTCTTTGAAGTCCTTCTTCTCTCACCACTAAGAATAACAAGCCTCCCCAGGAACCCATGGGTATGAAACACCAAGAGAGACATAGCAAGAAACCCCAAATGCTTTGACTTTTGGTGGGCACCAAAAAACAAAAGGAGAAATAAATGCAAAGCAGAAGGTTTTTCTGGACTCTAGCCCAAGCTGAAGGTTCTTGGATGGGATCAGGATCTGAATCAGCATTGTTTTCATAAGTGCTAAGCCTGGAGGGTAGAGGGTTCCCCAGAGGCACTAGAAGAACAAGTATAGGAAAAGCACTAATCAATACCTGGGTGTTTGTGGGTTTTGCAATTTGTGTACAACCCCTAGGAATGACAGCTAATTAACAAGGTCAAGGGCTGCTGAGCTGATCACCAGAGAACAAGGGAGGAGAAGAGGACTCTATGGTCTGGTAGGAGGGCTCTTGGGGATGCTTCATCTTCTCAGAGTAGCACTCTTCAAAGGAAGACTTGGTGTGGGCTTCCTGTCCCTTGAGATGCCAACATCCATGGAAGACCCAGAAGTCTAGGATGCATCTGTGTTTAGTTCTTCCCGCCACTCCTGTCTGCCTTTGTTCCTTCATGAGACTCACTCATTCTCTAGATCCTTCTGGAAAACGAAGATTCCTTCCGTGTTTTCTCGAGCAGTACCCTGCCTCTCTTAGTATAAGCTTCAGCCATAGGGAGCAACTTGCAATTTCCTAAATAAGCCACCGCCCTCTCATCCTTGGACCCTTACACAGGATTCCAGCAATGGGGCAAACTAAGCTCTTGAAATCACCAATCCCTTAGGAACCATTTCTCCCATTGAGAATTGTGGAGTGTGATAAGAACACTTTTCAGAGACTGTGATTGCCATGTAAAAGACACAGAGACAGACAGCAAGGTTGAGGAAGACTATGTCACACTATGTTTCCCCCATGGGAATTATTAAGGGCTTTGAGAAACCCGACAGTTAAAAAAAAAAAAAAAAAAAGAGGGAGGGGGATCTGTTTAGCTTCATTTAACTCAATATTTCCCCTAAATTACTAACAAAAGAACCGTGTTTTGTATGAATCCAGTGCAATGCACTTTGGAAAATACAGGTTTATAGCATTGGGACATTTTTATAAACTCCCAGAAAGGGTGGCAGAGGGCTCATCTGAATTTCTATATACTATAGTATCACGTAGTTGTAACATGGTTGAAGTGACGATGGTTCCATGCTGATCGAGAAACAGAGCTGTCAGCCCTGTGAGTACCTTTGAGGTCATTTACCAGATCTCCCTTTAAAGGACAAGGAACCTATTTACACGAAAATCTCTTGAGCTGTATCTACAGACTGGAATGCCAGTGTGACAATATGCTGAGTGACCAGGAACATGAGTTCTGGAGTCAAAAAGACCCTGCTCAGGCACCAGCTCTCTAACTTACTACTTCAAGGACCTTATGTGAAGGGTAATTCTCTCTATGTCCTGAATTAATCCATAGAAAGCACTTAGCACAGGAAGCTTTTATTTAAGCAGGGAATTGGAGTCACTTTGTCTCATTATACACAGGTCAAGGCTGTGACAGTACCTGGAAAGAGAGCCCTATTCTGCTATAGAGTGACTATTAACAGAAGACCAAGGGGCTGAGAGCACTGACTGTCAATGAGGTGATATTTTTATTTAGCAGAAATTTTCTAAAAATGCTTTCACAAGGGAACTACATAATCATGGGCTCTAGGAACATTGCTATACACATGGAGGAAGGGTCAGGTGTCACAGAGTCTTTAATCCATCATCAGGTGTCCTGTGTTGTAGATAGGGAGGTGGGGAGGTGACACACAGCTGAGCACCATGGCAACGTAGCATGTGAAGAGGAAGAAGGAGAGCCCAGCAAGGAAATAAGTGGGACATGATAGCTGCTAAATGTGTGGAACTTGACAGACAGAAAATTATGTTCTGAGAATATTTTTGGGACTTTTCTCTATGGTGCATGGTATAAAATCCCTGCATAATCCTGCTTTAAGGAAATCTACGTTAAAGGCCTGCATGTGTTTCAAGACCTCTAGCTCTAATTTGTGTTTCCTTTGAGTGTAGCTGGCGTGCTTATACTGAGATACATGGGGTCACCAGATTTATTAAAGTTACACTAACCAGGCTTCTTTTTCTTCTTTTGTTCAGTTTTTTTTAGCTCTCTTTTATTACTATTTCTCACCAGTCACTGAATTTGTCATTCATTGTAACAGCATGTGATTCATATCTCAAGATGTATTGCTACTTGCAATATATCATCTTAATATTCTATATTTTATTGCATTATCTCTTCTCTAATATATTAGATAAGTAAGTGACTGTTTCATAAGATTTGGGAGTTATTTTTATTTCCTCTGTAAAGTACTGTATTTTGAAATCGTGTCTTGGAGCTGATTACTTCTGAGAAGTGTTCCAATATGTAGATAATTCTATTGTACATAAATTATCAGTGTCCAGAAACTGCAACCTGCCTCTGTCATTGGGCCACATTCTGATGCAATTTTCAGGAAAGCTAGTCACTTTCTAAACTATTTAGAAAATTGGAGAGTGAAGCCAAGTTGGCTGGATTGGGGCATTTGCCTTATTTTACATTTTTGGAATCTGAGCTTAGAGAAAACCCAATATATTTTGGTAGTTCCCACTTTTTGCTGCAGTAGATTTTTGGTAGTTTGGTCCAAAATGTGGACAAAATGCTTAGAATACATTCCTTATTCACTTATTTGCTTTTCACAATCAAGGAGAATGTTTGTTTGTACACTACACATTTTATAGCGAAGACAAAACAGCAAGTTTTGCCTGAAACATGTTTACAAGTCCAACTTGCATCAGTAGAGAGCAATGTCACTCAAACTTTAAAGAGTTTGTGCTTTTTTTTTTTTTGCTACCGGACTGAAAGCATTCCTCAAAAGGGGGAGCAGCTCATTTAATCAAGTAGCAAATACTATCAAGAACTTCCTGTGCAGAGTTTCAAAGGCCGTTAGGCTGCTTAGGAAAGGATGAGTTGAGGGGAAAATATCAGAGCCCAGAACATCAGCACAGGTGTCCTGTCAACATAGTGGTCGCTTTGTTTTGGAAATTGGGGGGGGGGGGGGGAGAAGGACTTCAGAGCTCAGTAATTCAGAGAGAGAGAGAAATAGAGAGACAGAGACAGACAGACATACATTTGGAGTGATACTTCCAAAGATTTCTGCAATGGAGAGAGAAAAAGAATCCTGGAATACTGAGGAGATCTGAAGGTCAAGGAAGTCCTTCTGTGGACATCACTATTACCCAGAATCCAGTTCTGATGACAGGTTGGTGGCCAGTAGCAGTGTAGTCAGAAGAAAGATGGACTTTATTTTAGCAAGGGGCAGTTAAGGGTTTTGTAAGAAAAGGAAGGGACGTAGGAAAGGTTTAGGGCAAATAACATGTGCAGGAGACTCCCAGGAAGGTCTGCAGAGAAGGAAAGGCTTGCTTTGTTTGGAGAAGGAGGGCAGTTTGGACTCTAGGGCAATATTTCCTGAAGAGGTTTCAAGGACACTGACCACACAGAATGATGTCGTAGATACTATATGCAGCGTGGCTCTGGGGAGCACTAGGTTAAGCTGCTGTAAATGAATTCTTTGTTACAGGGCCCATGAGAGCTCGTGACAGTGCACCAGTGTGCCTCATATTTCTCCAGGAAGAGATGTGTGACATGAATCCCTGACTTTCATGACCACAAAAATGTTTTTTCTTCCAAGTACCAGTCTTCTGAAGATTATACTTGGGGAAACTCTGTTCTAGGGCGCATCATAGATTTTTCGAAGTTTGTTGAATGAATGAATGAATGGATAGATGGTTAAGTAGATGAATTAGTGAAAAAGTGAACGTGGTACAGGCAGGAATAAAGAGGCAGACTGGGAAAGTGTCAAAATAAAAAGAAAGCATGTATGACTAAGAGAATTGTTTTGAGCCTAGGAATTCCTACCTTTGGTACTTCTATCTAATGTACCTGCCACTTTCTCTTCTGCTTCTTTCTGCCACCTTCTCCCTTCCAGTTGTAGACCAGGGAATAAGACTGATTTATTTAAATACATTTTATTACCCATTTCTTCCTTACTTTTATAGGTAGTCCTACTGCATAGAATTGGCAGAATATACCATGAAGTTTTAAACCTTGTGTTCAGAGGGGTCCCCAGGTCACCTAATGCTTACATGAAATAAGCACATTACATGTATGACTTTCCTTCCATTTCCATTTTAATTGTCTGTACCCTCACCTACCCTCACTTCTTTTCCCTTAGCAAAGGAAGATAAAGAAGCAAATGGTACTCTACAGAGTGTTATAGTGAACTGGTTGAAGAATGATATGCCAGAGTAATAGTGTTTCTAAAAATGGAAAAGTATGCCCTATCCCCACTTCATGGAGGTGGGAGGACATCAGGACAAATATCAGAAAGGTCTCCAGATAAGCAAGATAGTATACCCATCAAGGATTTAGCTAAAAAACCTGCAAGGTTTTGAATGGCTCTCAAGCAAGTGTCTGTTGTCAGGGATACCATCCCTCGTGTAACCGTGACTTCTGTCACTTTATTTCAGAACGCCAACCAGGTACCTCTATGGCCAATTCCAACGCCTTCCCTTCAAGTTCAGCTGGAATCAGCAAGGAACTGATCGATCTGCAACCCCTCATCCAGTTCCCAGAGGAAGTCGCCAGCATCCTGACAGAGCAGGAGCAGAATATTTACCGAAAGGTCCTGCCAGTGGACTACCTTTGCTTCCTAACCCGGGACTTGGGAACACCAGAATGCCAGAGGTCCCTGCCGTGCCTCAAAGCGTCCATCTCGGCGTCAATTCTCACCTCTCAGAATGGAGAGCACAATGCCCTCGAGGACCTTGTGATGCGATTCAATGAGGTAAGGAGCCACTCTTGGCTGTTTTTAAGTGTATCTCTTCTCTGATTCCAACTGCCTCCCTCCGCTTCCATGGGGGCTGCTGCTTTTCTCCAGGTAGTGAGGTGACCACACTATCTTCTTCCCTTCACTGCACTCTGCCTGCCCTTGTGTCTGATGGATCTCATATCTCCATTCCCTGTCACTGTTGAGGACGCCAATTCTTCTCCCTTTGGACAACCAGATTTTTCAACCGCTAGACACCACTCTGCCCAGTCCCACCCAAGGTTTTAAGACTGGTGTCTCAATTTTGATTTTCAGCAACAGGATCCCTGGTCACACCTGTCTAGCCCACTCCCCCTTTCCCACTGTCAGGACCCCTCAGCAGAAACTTAAAAACCAACACGACTGGGAGTTCCACACATGGGAAACTATGGGAAATTTGTCCCACTCCTCTCTCTGCAGCCCATGAAAATTCTCAGCCCCAAAAGTCACTCATTCCACAACCTCTGAGACCAAGCCAAAAGTCAGTCCTAAAGAGGACAGATGTGACTGGAGTCTGGGAACATTTGAGATGGAGCATCTCTATGGGGTTTAGGGATTCCCAGAGAGGAAAGAGTCAATGGCTGGCATTCCTGTGGCCCTGGAGCAAGGAGGAGGGACAGGGAGGACAAGTGGGTTTCCATGCATACTGGAGGCTGGGCATACTACAATTTGAGGCTTAAAGGACTCTGTCTGTCCATAGTGTAGCCATAGACTGAATTTTCTGTTCTGTATTTTGTTTTAAACCTAATGTGTTTTTCCTTGAATATTAAATCACAGAATTTTAATCTGGGTATTATTGGTTATTGATTGGTTGAATTCTACAGACAGAGTAGTATCTTACTTTAGTCAGTTAGTAAATTCTATCTAATGCTGCAAGGACAACCAGCAACAACAGAGGATCCTGTTGTTGTTCTTTTTAGATGTTCATGACAGTGGAGAGTATTTTGAAATATTATTCATATGTGGACTATAACTTATTCTAATTAGGATCCATCAACCTTTGTTACTTTGTAGCTCATTTTACAGCCTCCAGAGCTTGCTGGTGAAGACTCTGGTATTTAAATGGTAGGCCCAGTGGATGCAGAAAGTGTGAGAGACTGAGCCCAACAATCAGTTCAATGTCTAGAGAGACCAGCTGTGTTCCTCAAAAAGACACTTGTCATCCCTAGGAGAAGCTGGTACCCATCTCCTGCTGTAATACCAGCCACTTTACTTGGACCACTTACTAGTGCCTCACAGCAACCTTGGATGACAGACATTGTCGTGAGCCCCACAGTACTACTGGGGAAACTGAGGTGTGAGAGACAGTTTTTTGCTCAAGGTTACACAGGTGGTGAGTGGCAGTTGTGAGTTTCAAACCCTAATAATCAGGCCCCAGAGCCTGGGTTTTGAACCACTGCAGTACCTTGCCTCTCACCTGCATCAGGACCCACCCCAATAGGGTATTAGACAGAACTCTGGGAGTGCACAGAGCGCCAGCAAACAGCACTGCCCCAGAGTTGTTTTTTAAAACGAATCTCCTGACATTCTTGACTTTCCTTACCGATAAAAATGGAGTGGAAAATGAAAGTTCCCGTAAATGGAGAGATTTTATTGGTGTATTTTACTGCATTTTGTGAATTATTTTAAACTTCCAGATCTACTCTCACAACTTTAGGACCCTATTCTTGTCTTTTTTTTTTTTTTTTTCTCAAATTGACCTGAACTTAAAAGCAAATTGCCAGAACTTTTAAAATCTAATTTTAAAGTAAACTTGGCTTTCTTCCACTCACTGCCATAACCTTGGGAATCAAAGATGAATCAGTGATTTCACTAATTCAGTGCTGGTGATGATCTGAGCCACAGCTGGGTTGGGGCATGCTTTGGACTATCTCTGAAAATAGTTTAGCTAAGCAACTTCGGAACGTAAACAAGATTTCTGGGAAAACACTTAAACTACTTAAAAGAACAGACTGTTTTCAAGTATTCTCAAGGATCTATTTTCATACAAATTGTGGGGATGCTGATTAAAAATCAGTCTTAAGTCATCATAGTCCAAACCCAAACGATCTCCACAAGACAACACTGAGATAGCTAAATTCGTGTGTGTGTAACTAATTAAAATTGTAATGACAATAATATAAGAGAGATCAGTAGGAGTAGAGCAAGCCAGTTAGGGGAGGGAGGAGGAAAGGATGGTATTAGGAAATGAGATTGATCAAATTATGTTATGTGACTGTATAAATATAGCATAATGAATCCCCACTATTATGTATAATTATAATGCACCAATTTAAAAAAGAAAAAAATCTTTTCTACATTAAAGTATAAAAGCTGTATTACATTAATAGATAATTTTTAAATTCAGATTTGCACCTCTTTAGAATGGTCTTGCTTCCAAATTATCATGGCTTTCCACACTGCAAAGAAGGGAAAAGAAAGGAGCATGAATCTATTTAGTAGATGGTCTCTCCGGACTGGACATTTTCACATTTTCTAATCTCATTTCATCCTATGACAGTTGACTTTATCTTTGTGTTGCAGATAAATAAAGTGAGGGTTAGACAACAAATAAATAATGATAGTGTTGGATTCTGACCCATAGAGTAAAATAAATATTTCTGAGTACATACTGATATAAATAAATATCAAACCAATCAATCATCAATCAAGGGGGCATAGGTCTTACTATAGATAAGAATTCCAATTAATACATGGAGGATGAAGGGGGAAACAGGAAATCATCATTAAAACATGACAGTAACAATTATTGTAGGCAAGAACCACTGATGAACTCTAAAATTATTGGGTGAAAATAAATTTGATGAGAGACAGGATATTTGCATAGTCTCAAAGCATCTCTCTACCAGATACTTATTAATTACAAAGGGAAAATAGTACAGTGGAGAAAAACAGCAGCAGACACCGCCTCAACCAAGGGGTCAAAGTCAACGTGCCAGTAATAATCATCTGAGCCCCCTGACAGGATGTGCTAAGAGGGGTGAGACACCCTCTCATGGCATTCTTGTTAGAAGTGCTTACCTTAATCTAATCATGAGAAAGCATCAGGATATCCCAAATGCAGGGACATTCAACTCTTTTTTTAAAAAGTGGCAAGGTCATAAAAGATAAGAAAAATACAAGGGACTGTCAAAACCAGAGGAGAACAAGGAGATATGACTACTTAATGTGTTGTAGAATCCTATTGATCCTGGACTAGAAAGAAGACATGTATGGAAAAACTGGTAATAACCTATGAAGGCTTGTAGTTTAGCTAGTATTACTATATCAGTGTTGATTTCCTGTTTTTAAAATGTTTTTATTTTTATTTTTTGTAGTTTTAAATGGACAGCATGTCTTTATTTTATTTATTTTTATGTGGTGCTGAGGATTGAACCCAGGGCCTCATGCATGCTCGCCAAGTGCTCTGCCACTGAACCACAGCCCCAGCTCTGATTTCCTGGTTTTCATACTTGTATTATACTTGTGATAGATTTTAACATTAAGAGAAGCTGGGTGAAAAGTATACAGGAACTATTTGTGTATTTGTGTGTGCTATTTTTGCACACTTTCTGCAAATCTAAAATTACTTCAAAATAAAAAAGTTTTAAAATAAAGTAATGAGCTCAGAGAGGTCGAGTTCCTTGTCCCAGGTCACAAGTAGCCGTGTGGTTATCACAGTCCAGATCTGTCTTCTACAGTCTATCTTTTCTTACCCAGCAGTCTCTCTACTTGTTAACTGATCAAGTTTAAGTTTATAATAAAACTAGGATTGCAGACGTAGAATTTAATTAGACTTGGGTGTCTCTTTCTACTTTTTCCTAAATCCCCTGTGCAGTCTGTCATGTCCTACTCCTCTGTTTCTCTTTCTATCCAATTTCCTACTACCTAGACTTCTGCCATCCCTCCCTCATTCATTTATTCACTCACTTGAGGCATATTTATTGTGAACCTACTAGGCTGTAACCTTTTCTTTTTTCTCATTGGTGCATCAAACTTTTTTTAATTAAGAAATTAAAAATATTTAATGGAACTTGATAACATCATCAGCCCACAACTGGTCCGTTAAGTTGGATAAACAAAATAAAGGCACTTTCCTCAAAGGGAGGGAAAATGTCTAGTCCTTGGAATGTTATAGAGAACATCAGCCCTGGAGCAGGAGTGCTGGTCACGCGGGGGAGACCTGTGTGCATTTGTCTGTGCCTTCAGTCATTCTGCTCCCGTTTATTCTGCACTTTTTAGAAGGAGAGCAACGTGGTGGATGTTCTCTCAGGAAAGTAAATAACAGTCTGCGGCTGCCAGGAGCTACCAGGCGCGGACACAAATAGCTACCAAAAAAGGCAGAAAGTCGGGCAGTTGTGAGTGGCACAGACAGTGCAGCTGAGGCGTGGAGGTGGGTGATCAGAACTCCTGCTGAGCTCTGGCGTCTGGTGCTGGGCCTTGAGAGGTGGGAAGGATCCCCGGGAAGGTCAAGGGGAAGGGAAACACTGAGAGAGGAAGACGACCAATTTTTGTCATGAGCAAGACTGGTGGCTTAGGGAGGCAGCTTGCTCTTGCTTTTCAGCAGAACATGATCCTGAGCTGGGAGTTTCCTACATTCTACCACCTCTTCACATGACCACTTAACTGTAAAGAGGGGAATAGGAAGAGAATTCCTGATGCTTTGGGGGCAGGTTGTATAATGTTTGTTCTTAGAAAAGTAAAGCTAAAATGCAGTTCAAGGTATGACCATGAAATAATTGAAAAGGTTTAGCTGACATTAAGGAAGGCCAGGAAAGAAATCATTAAAAATCAGTTTGGACGGTGGCTTGGAAGCAGTGTTTCTCTCTGTCCCCTTCTCCTGCCTTCCAAGACTGCGGTATGCCTTAGAGATGCTTCTTACAGGCGGTCTCTCTTTCTCCTTGAAAAATAAACAGAGACCCATGGGAGGGGGCAGTTCTCAAGCAGGTGGGAGTCAAAATCTGTGCTGGGGGCAGGCCCAGTCCTGGGTTGCTTGGTGT